CTTACATATTTCTTATGGAATATGTGTATGTGATGAAGTGGTCTAATACTATTTTCTTTCTTGGAACCTTGTTAACTGCACAAATAAAATCCAAAATACCTGTAACAATAAACCTGTGATGAATCCTTGTTGAAGCGGATGACCAAATGGAGATCCACCAAGAGTTGCATCTCGTATACGGTCGTTAAAACTGAACAGAGATTTAAAAGGTCGAGGTTAAACAAAAGGAATCAGCGAAATGTTGAACAATCGTTAAAGAAAGTAACAAGATATGTCCATCTTCGGAAATGTATCAACCAAAGCAAAGATGAATTTGGGACAAACAGCTCTTTTTTAAATGTACTGAAGCAATGAAATTCAAACCTTCCAATTCCAGTTCCGCTTAAGTTGAACTGTGAAGCATTTATCCCACGTCCATTTTGAGCAACTTCACCAAAGTTCCAACCTTCACCGTATCTGATGAAGGAATAGCAAAAGTAAATGATATGGCCATAATTATTTCACAAGAAGAAACGAATACCGCAACTGATGTTGAAAAGAATTCCACGTAAGTTCGATATAGAGCCAGGACTTACAAATAAACTCTTGAACCATCAACTCCATCTGATTCCTTTCTCAAGTTACCAATTGCATCTTTTGCTTTTACCTAAGGAAAATATATAATACAACTCACATCAAAGCGTAATGTGAGTAACTATCAGATAACATCCTAATGAAATCACATACTAACTTCTGAAAAGGACACTTCAGATAACTATCAATCATACAAATAAAACCTGCAAAGAGTAATAAGCTGCTTACCATTGTAGCTTTCATTATATGACCCATAAGATCAAAGCGGAATCCATCAACCTGACAGAATCAGCACATGATCATCCAGCCGGAATATACAAGAAGAAAAAAAGGGCTTTGTAATTAACCCAGTATACAAAGAACCTTGTCATGGCCCGTAGATCAAAGGTTGAAAGACATATGAAGATGGCAAGCATGTACCTTGTAGTTAACAACCCAATTTAATAGATCATCTCGTATCAGACGATCAACCATATAATGCTCGCTGGCTGTGTTGTTTACGCATGTACTGTTTTCAATAAAACCATCATTGTTTCTTCTCAAATAGTAACCTGGAACTATCTAAGCAAATACATTTTGTCATGGAAGATAGATTGAGAATTCGAGCTAGACAGTTAGTTATCAGACTGAAATTTATAAAAATCTTAGAACGGTGCTCACCTTGTCAAGGACAGAGTCCTTGTCGTGTGGTCCACTTGCATGCAAGTGGTTGTATACAACGTCTAAGACGACATTAAGACCAATACGATTAAGAGCCTGCCAAAAGAAGTGACATAATGAGAAAACTCAAAATTAGCATGAGAGTTCACCATGAAATTATCAAGACCTTGTATGAATCACTACAAATTTTAACTTTCAGTGAGCTTATTAGTGTTCCAAATCACCAGTATACGCTTCTTGACCAACTTTCAATATTCAAATCTGAAAAAATGCAAACCTGAACCATTTTTCTAAATTCAATTATACGGTGTGGACCAGTCGGATCACTAGCATAGCTTCCTTTTGGGACTCCCCAAAGTACAGGATTATACCTTCACAAAAAAAGGAAACTTGTGATGAAGGTGATTGCTTCATAATGAATGGAGTAACTTGCATATAACAAACTACCCCCAGTTATAGCCATCATCATTCTGGATTTCTGTAATACGAGCTTGTGCCTCAGCTGAATCAGGTGGTAATCCTTCCAGGAGACTGGTGTCTACAATATACAAAAATTTAATAGTTATGTGTACATAAAATCCAGATACAGATAGACGACTTTGTAACTTTTGCTTATGTTCTATAGGTCTGAAGACTAAAGGTCCTTTGGCTTTTAAGGTCTATCTTGAGTGCAAGCATGAATCACATGCAATATATTAAGGGTGCGGTTGACATCAAAGATACATTACCTAAAGACTTCCAATTATCCTTCTCATCATCAACATCACCAAACTGAAATGTTGGAAGAAGATGTAGATGGGTAAGACCTGCATCCGATAATTTCTGCAGATGATTCACACCTGCAGAATCCTGCCAATAGATCTAATGAGATATGGCACAAAACACAATGAAGCAGAGCATCTTTGCAGAGCAGCGCATGCATCAGAAATATTAGAAGTCCAACTAAAATGTAGGTCACCAGTAAAACAAGTGAATTCACAGAGCATATAATAAGATGAGAAAGTTATGTACATGGACAAAGCTGTTTGTACCTTTATAGTGAAAGCCAGATATCCACCACGATTTTCAGGCCCGACAGTCTCATCATGGGCACTGAAATAGCAGGTAAAAGTTAGAAAAGTGAGTAGAAGAGGGAAACATGCACGAGCAAAGTAAAATGACTCCACACTTTCTTTCTTTTTTTTTTTTTGGTCACAACTCCACACTTTCAATAATGTGATTCAACGATTAGACTAAGTTTATCCCATAGTTAAAACTTAAAAGTCAATAGTCACAAGCATAATTTTCGTCTACGCAGAAGCAAACCATGATGAATCTGGAAATAGAGTCTAATTACCTGAAATCCCTAACATGCAGCTCATAAATACTTATATCTGAGACGGATCTTAGGCATGGCTTCTTATCTGCTAATTTGTCCCATCCTTCAGGTTTTAGATCATCAGAATTAAGATTAACCAGAAAAGTTTTGCTACCATCTCCTGAAAGCCTGCTTGAGAAAATACAAACCACTTATGACTCATTTGGACACAAAATTATATTGGGACATATGCCTTGAAGGCAGTTGAAAAATACCATACCCTCGTGCATAAGGATCATTTGCATAGCATGTTTCCACTTTCAAGGTGCTTGGATGGTAGACTGATACTTTATACAAATAATAGCATCCTTCCCAACTACTAGCTACTGTAGTGCTCCACACACCATTAACCTCATTGAGTGGACAGATTTCCATCGGACTCTCGGCAAGTGGGTTTTTGTAGATGCAGACAGAAACTGCCTACTTAAATGAACAATTGAGCACAAAAAAAGAGAGAGTTAATTATGTTTCAGGAAGGTTTAGCAAAAGGTAGCATGATAAACCTTTTTCCAACATGAGCATCATACTTGAGCAGTGGGAGCCCAGAGGTGAAGAGAGACACCTTCTGGTGTAAAATGTGCACCTAGGGGACCATCATACGAGAACAATTCATCTAGTACACCAGGCAATTGCAACCCGGTTCCCTGAATCATCCGTCCTTCCGCTGCAGAAAATTAAACATCCATTGAATAATTCAGTCTTAGTAGTTTCTTCTAACAGCAAGGGAATCAAATATTGAAAGCATCAAAAATGAAATGGTATAGAAAAACTGTTACCATCAAAGCAAACAACAGCTAATTGGCTTTTAACAAGATCCCTGATATCGAAATCCGAAGGAACTTTGAAAGGTTTGTAATTCCTAATATGTGGAAACTTCTCAATCACCTGAAATCAAGACTTCCAATTCGAGAAAAACAATACTCGTAACGAAGCAAATACAAATAAGAGAATGCACAACTGACATCTGTAGGAAGTGAACCAGATTCAGCTTCAAGCTTGATTCTTGAATCATAACCTGAAATCCAATGAAATTTAATCAACAT